TTCTTTGTTGCACGTTCCAATGTTCATCGCCATATGTACTGTACAAGTATCGACTTATCGCAATTACTGCCCCGTGTTTTACTTTGCCTTGCCATAGGTTCTTTTACTACCGGTTAAAGGATTTTGATTTAGCATTGTTGTTGTTTTACAATCCGATGTTCAATGTGACCGAAATATACAAGTATCTACCACGCATCAAAGTTTGGTAAATTTGGGCGCTTGTGCGACTACCTCCTGGCTTGTCGGTCACGTTGGTGATTCTGGACGTCCTTCAGAATAGGAGTGTTTTTTGCATCGTCATCGATGGCGATCACTGGACTCAGTGATCATTCCTTTGTGATGAGCCGGTCTGGATGGCTTGAAGCAGTTCATGTCCTATCGATCAAAGTAATGAGGTGTAAGACTACACCTTGGATGCATCACAGGGAGGAGTAGCGTCGTTGAGGCGCTTCAAGTTTCGATAATAGGTGGGTGATAAATAACAGTCGTGAAATGTTTAGTTCACTTGGACCCAGCTTCCCAGATTCATTGTTTGTTTTATTTTGTAGCTGTGATGGTTCTTGGTTTGCTATGGGATTCAGAAATATTCCTATTTCAAAGCAATTCCATTTTTGGAATAAGGAAGTCGACCGTCCATCCCAAACATAAAAATTTTACCGCTTTCCTCGCTCTCTAAGTGAGGGATCCACGGTAAGCTCGGAGATCGAAAAAGGAGAAATATCCTAGTCGGAATGCAGGCGGCTCATCTAGCAGGGTGAATAACGGTCGAGGAACGGTCTCGACCATGGCTCTCACGTGCGAGAGTAGTGCCGAGAGTGAACGTACGCGCGGAGAGCACAGACGGCTCGCGCATGGCGAGTGTGAATGTCCGCGCGGGAGAACGTAACTGATCAGGCGAAAATCCTCGACGTGCCGTTGAGGAATCCTCGACCGATATTCACCCTGCCTAGGGGTGCGGGACGATGCGCGAGGAGTATGCCCCAGCGGCCTAGCAGGGCACACCCGCCGGCCCTCTCTCTCGCCGTCCAACTCTAGTCATTCAGCTGAAACAGTGTTAACGTCGTGGTCAGCACCGATGAGAGTCGCACCAATGCGGGAACCTAAGAGGAATGGGTTCCTGTTCCTGGGTTCTGGAGTTCGAAACTCTCAAACACGACCCTTCCCTGTCACTGTACACACAAAGACCGAAAGAAACTCTCCCTTCAATTATCACTCAGAGACCTGAATAGACGAGACACTCAGAGACGCTCTCCAAACACCCAAATACAACCCCCTCCCGCCTTCCGTTAAGAATTGCGTAGCATATGTTTGACCGTTTGAAGTCGCTGTCAGTGGTGGCTTTAGCGGAATTGTGCGCTGAAAGGA